GGGGCGGGGGGGGGGGGGCGCGCGCCCCCCGCCGCTCCAGCCCGCTGGCCTTCGAAAGATCCTCCTGGGCCAATGGCAGGCGGGGCGACGAGCCCTGATTGGTGCAGGCGCTCTGCTGATCACTGTGGAAACCCGGGTGGCGGGGAACTCGGGAGGATGCGGAGCCCGGAGCGGGGGGAGTCTGAGGGGTGGGGGGAGGAGGCATCGAGGCTCTGAGCTACCCTGGAGTTTTCACCAAAGGCAAAAGTCCACAGCAGGCGGACCGAGGGTGGGGCGGAGGAAGAGGACCGCTTGGGGGCACTGGGAAGCTAAGGGTACTCCAGAGGGAAGGCAGGGATACTGGCTAACCAGGAAAAGCGAGGAGGAGCGAAGGCGAGGGGAGGAGGCGCGGTGGGAGGAGGAGTAGAAGACAAAAGCCGAAAGCGAGGAGGGCGCCGACCGCACACTGCGGCCGAGAGAGGGACCGTCTGTGCTGCAAGTCGCGGGCGCCCGGAGGCTGTAGCGCACGGGGCATCTGGGTGGACAGGCAGGATGGGGAAGGGAGGTAACCAGGGTGAGGGGAGCACGGAGCGCCAGGTTCCGATGCCCACCTTCCGCTGGGAGGAGATTCAGAAGCACAACCTGCGCACGGACCAGTGGCTCGTCATCGACCGCAACGACCGCAAGGTCTACAACGTCACCAAATGGTCCAAGAGGCACCCGGGGGGCCACCGGGTCATCGGACACTATTCAGGAGAAGATGCTACGGTAAGGGTCTGGGGGTGCCAGCCACCCTTGTCTGCTGCAGGCCGGTGTCAGGAACTCGGGGTCCTTGGGCGCCAAACAGATCTCCAGTTCTGAATGGAGCGCAGGACGTCCAGGAGGGAAAGAAAGTGTACCTGCTGCTCTCATCTTGCGCCCGGAATCGTCCTTCTCTGGGCCAGCTGGGCAGACTTGGGCCGAGCCTTTTGGACCCGGGGCTTTAGCACCTCTGTGGAAGTCCCATCAGTGGCAAACTGTGCCCGGTGCATGTCCACAGCGCGTACTGCGCGCGGGTACAGCTGGAGCCAGGGACTCTCCCAAGGGGGCGCTCCGGCCTCCGTGCTTTGGCGCTCCCCATGTGGAAGATGGCCACCCCTGGGCGCCGGGAGAGGAGCCTGAGAGCGGGCAGCCATATGTGGGACTCTCCTGCCAGACCAGGGGGGCGGAGAAGGAAAGCTGGTTTCTGGCCAGGACTCGCTCCTGCTTGGACTCCTGTCTGAGAAGGTCCACAATGGCTGCCCGACAGAGACTGCCCAGTAGCTCAGGTTCCCACGCTCCCGAGGATTATCCCGACTCACTCCAAGTGCCAGCCTTCTGGGAAACCCTGGTGGGGAATTGATGGAAGGCGAATGGGTTGGCTTTTGCAAAGTCCAGATCCAGAAGGGGATCTAGAAGGTGAATTTGGTAGCACCGAGACTGGCTTGGCAACAGGTCCTTCTGCCTCTGGGGTTACTCTCGGACATTCAACTCAATAGCCCTCTGTTTTTAAGTCCTGCCAGAATCGCCCTTCTTTCTTGCACTTCTGGAGGTTGTTGGAAACGGGGGACCTCTCTGGAACCAAGGCTGCCCTTATGCACACCAAATGTGTAGCTCAGCAATTGCATAGAACCCCAAGCCATGCCTGGCCCCACCCCCAACCGTAAAGGATTGTGTGGTCGGGTGGGTAAGAGGAAAAGCAAAGTCAAGGAGAAAGATGGGACCGTTTTGGCGGTGGTGGTGAGCTGAAGGCAGAGGAAAAGATCGAGGCTGGAGAGAACTTGGGAAAGATGTTTGGGAAGAGGCGAGAAGAGGGATGAACTCAGAACGCATTCCACGTGAAAGTCCAGGGCACTGACCTGCTTCTGGGCTTTGGTTGTGCAAGTTTGTTAGTTTCAATTCGTAACTTCCACCTCTTTTCTTCTCTTTGAGATCAGCCTAGGTAGCCATACTCTAAACTAATCAATGGACTGGAGGCTTTGATCAACAGGATACAATCTTACTCAAGACTGAGGAGAGAACTGGCATTATTCATTCTGCCTAAAGCCTATTTTCCTTGCTTGTGGACTCTGCTTAAGCCCATGGGACTGGTGCTGCTAATCACACCTTAGGTGGGTGTAAGCTTTTCATACTCCTTGAGTGTCCTAGCTTGGACCTTTCCACAACCAGAGAGGACCTTGGCTTCCCATTGAGAAGATGTCCTAGCACCACTGTTATGTGGTGCTAGTCTGTGCATGACTCTGTAGGTGAATCATAAAGGCTTCCTCCCTTCTCATCAAAACATTTCCTAAAAAGCAAAACGATAAGTGTTTTGATCTGCTTATTCCATGTCGTAAGAGAAATAGGTTTTCTTGCGTGGAAGCTCAATCAGGCAACAACCTTGAACTTTGTAGTAGTTTGCTTAAGAAATCAGACATATTTCATCCTTAGTGTTTCCCTGACCCAGTTCCTTCCAAATGCCTGTGCTCAGAGCAAAGCCGTCAGATACCTGGATGGCTAAAAGCTCCTGCATGCTAAAAGCCTGATATGCTGTTCACTGCTGACCTCATTGTTTTCGGTGTCATTTTCATTGATTGTGAGTCTACTGTCTGGGATGTTAATCGTCCCATGATAGGAAAGGTAAGGTGGGACTCAGTGTAGGCAGTAGATGTGATCACTGGGAGTGACCCATACATGGTCTCACCAGATCAAGACACCCCCCCACCCTCACCCCACCCCAGTGAGCACCAGATACACACAATGGAGAGTTATTAGAAAAGCACGAGGAATGGAACAACTAGAATGTAAAGTACTTGAGAAAGGGAGAAGAAAACCAAGTAATTTGAAGCAAGCTCATTTGATGCCACAACCAAAGTCTTCCCAAATAAGACTTTTGGGGATGCAAAACACACTCCCTGGAGATAGAGTTGGAGGGCAGTGAAGTAAGCAGTGATATTTTCTTTGGCACACACCCCCCCTTTCTTTTTATACCGTCTGAGACCAGGTTGGAAAAAGGTCTTGGGCAACAAGAAGATCTTCAAAGGGAACTTCAAGAGCAGGAATCCTTCCCCAGGTTGTTTTGCAAGTAGCTTTGCCCCTTAGTGGCCTTGCTTTCTTTTCAGAGCTTGAAGGGAATGATGGAGGATGCAGTGAGGTTTGGGGAGACTGGCCAACAGATGGAGGCTGGATCCCAAGAGCACTTTCATTGCCGTCTGTCCAAGGATATCTGTGATGTCTTGGCAAGAGGCTGGAAGGGGAGGCCAGGAGTCAAGGAAGCCGTTTTGAGGAGAATCTAGGTGTCCAGTGGAGAATCTTCTGTTTCTGAAGAAAACACCTCAGAGTGCTCACTTCTTCCCTAGAAGGATGGAGCAGTTGTCATTTGGCCCTTCTGTAGTCAGACCCTGGCCTTACTTGTACTTGTAAAAGTCACTTAGTATGGGGCTGGAGAGATGGGTTCAATTCCCAGCAGCCACATGGCTGCTCACACACCTGTCTGTAACTCTAGTTCCAGAGTTTCTGACACCTCACAGAGACATACATACATGCAGGCAAAACACCAACGAACATAAATAAAAATAAAGAAAAAGATTGAAAAACAAAAGTCACTTAGTGGCATGTGCCCAGAGCCCCAGCTACTCAGAAGGCTGAAGAGGATCACTTGAGCCCAAAGTTTTGAGACCAGCCTGGGTACCACAGTGAGATTATGCCCCTAAAAACAGTGAAGTTTTGCAGCTCATAAGCCCATTGGTATATGCTGTCTCATTTAATTCTCAGATCAGCCCTGCTACTGTCCTGTCCCGAGGCTCAGAAACCCTGCTCAGGTGTTCAGCGGGAGTTGCTGGCACCAAGTCCGACAGCCTCACCTTCCTCTCTCTCTCCTCCCCACTCCTCTTTTTTTTTACATCTTTAGTCATTTCCTGATGGTCCCCCAGAGTGTCTCCTGTTTTAGATTTGCTGTAGGCACAAAGAACTGTCACCCATGCCCCAGCATGGGAATCTGATCAGTGTGAAATGAGCCCCACTTGTGAATTTTCATTTTCAGCAAGAGCTCATCAAACATTCATTAATCGTCTCCATGGCTCCGAGCTGGGCTCTGAGCAGGGCCTCAGCAAAAAAATGAATAATTCAGACAGTGACCTGCATCCACTGGATTGGGTCCCTCCCACTTTTTCTCTTTCTCAGACTGGGGCTTGAACTTGGATCCTCCAGTTCCAGATAATCACTTCTCCTCCAGCCTGCCTTGTTTTGTCTATACTTTTTGACTCATCTGCCTTGCTTACTTACCTCTTGGAGTCAAAGAAAGGCAAAGGGGACCAGAGGTGGGTTCTGTCATTCAGCCTCTCTTATATTGTGCTTGTAAAAAAGCAGCAGCAGTTGAGAAAATGGAATTTTGCCCCTGACAGTGTATGAGGGTCAGGTTATCAGAGAACCCAAGGTGGGAGTTTCTAGGCCTGGAGGGCAGCTCTCTCTCCTCAGCTGAGTAGGAGCCATGCGACTCCTGCCCACTGCATTTTGGTGGGAGGAAGACACCATATGCAGCCCCAGCATCCCCTTATAGTGATGCTAATAAAATACAAATGGAATTGAGCTGGGGAGATGGCTTAATAGCTAAAATGCTTGCTGCCCAACTGTGAGAATGAAGCACGGATCCCAGAACCCAAAAAAATACCAGGGGTGGGGGGTGGGGGGTGGGGAGCAGTTGATTTGTAATTCTAGCCTCTGAATGCAGAGGGATGGGATCCCCAGAGCACGCTGACTAGTGAGACTAAGCATACCAGTGAGCTCTGAGTTTGATTTCGAAGCCCTGCCTTGGTTAGTAAAGTGCAAGAGCAACTGAGGATGATTCTCAACATTAACCTTGGACCTCCATATGTATGTGCACGAGTGCACATACACACATACATGAAGGGGGAAAACGGAAATGGCATCACATCTTCATGCCCCGTCTGCATCTGTGGGGACTTACTTCCTGTGCAGCCAGGGAAGTCCACATATCCTGTTTTTTTGTTTGTTTGTTTGTTTTGTTTTGTTTGTTTGTTTGTCTTGGGGGGTGGTTTCGACACAAGGTTTCTCTGTGGCTTTGGATTCTGTCCTGGAACTAGCTCTTGTAGACCAAGCTGGCCTCAAACTCACAGAGATCCGCCTGCCTCTGCCTCCCAAGTGCTGGGATTAAAGGCGTGTGCCACCAACGTCCGGCTCCACACATCCTGTGTTAGCAGATATTCTCTTACCAAGGGGCTCATGGACCACTGAATGCTGTCTACCTATTCAGCCTCTTCTTGGAGGGGACACAAAGAAAGTCAGAAACCAGTATCCCTGGTCTCTGCCATCTTTTTAAGTCTCCACCTGTGAGCTCCAGGTCCTTCCTGCTTTGAGAGGCATCTAGGAACCCTGGCTTACTGCAGGAAGCACTATGTGTCCTCACTTACTGAGCTTGGGCTTCTCAAGTCCCTGACCAGCTTCACCGGTATGGAAAGTTACTCTGTCACAGCTGTGCTGTGCGGAAGAGCCTGCACACCATCAGAAACAGGTGTGGGGGCCTTGAGCTCAGTGTGAGGACTACTCAGAGGTGGCAGAGGCAAGGAAGGTGTGCCTAGAGAGGGCAGCGGGATGGCTGAATAAGGACTAGCAGATGAACAGCAAGTGTAATGCTTAAGGATCTGGGCCTCTGACCCCACGAGGTGCCTGTTCAGATCTCCTGCACCTGTGTAACACTCCTTTCACCTTCCCGACTCTTGGCCTGCTTCCTAGAAAGACTTTGCTTCTCTCCCTGTCAGAGAAGGAGAGCCTGCTTCCAACTCTGGTTCCAAAACTATCATTTGGGTTGGCCTGGTCTTGCCTTGCACTGTGGCCCACTCTGCAACCTGGCATTCCTGTAACCAGACAGCTGTTGGGAATGACAGGGTTCAAGGCACATCTATGGCCCCTTGAAGGAGTCAGTGAGGGACATCTGAAGTGATCAGTTCCCAAAAAAGAGAAAGCTCATTTCAAGGGAGGTCTTTGTCCTAACAGCAGAAAAATCAGCAGTCAGCCATCTAGCCCAGGTTCTGCCCAGTCAACTCCTGGGTGTGACAGGAGGACACAACCTAGTCCTTCTCATCAATAAAGCAGGACCCTGAAAGGCTAGGCTGTAACTCAGTGTTTATTGCTTGTTTAGCATGTGCAAAGCCCCAGGTTTCATTTCTAGTACTGCACAAACAAAAGGCAACAACAAATGAGCTACCTGCCAGAGCTGGGTAAATAGTGGCTGATGACTCAGGCCACTCATGTGGCACGCCTCCTAGCCTATGAAATGACAACTAGACCCACCCCAGGGTGTGAGTGCCTAAAATGATGAAAAGTTCCCGTGTTCCAGAAGTATCAGTTGGGTTGTATAAAGATGACAGAGGGCAGAGTCTACACTGGACTACAGGATGGGAGCATATCCTGGAATAGAGGTTCACAGCCACTGGGCCCTGGGGTTCTTGAAGCCCTGTGAACGAACACTCTTGTGAAGCAGGTGTGGGAATGGTCACAACAGGCTACATGTGGTCCTTTCTCCTCTAGGTGACAGGCTTTACATTAAGAGTGCCATTTTGCACATTATGCAGTTTTGTGTGCTATCCTGGAATAGAGGTTCACAGCCACTGGGCCCTGGGGTTCTTGAAGCCCTGTGAACGAACACTCTTGTGAAGCAGGTGTGGGAATGGTCACAACAGGCTACATGTGGTCCTTTCTCCTCTAGGTGACAGGCTTTACATTAAGAGTGCCACGTGACTTATGCAGTTTTGTGTGTTTGCTTTTTGAGACAGGGTTTCATGTATTTCAGGCTGGCTTCAAACTGAGAACAGCTTAAACTTCTGGCCCTCCTGTCTCCACCTCCACACCTGGTTTGTGCCATGCTGGGGCTTGAACCCAGGGTTCTGTGCACAATAGGCAATCACTGTCCCTGGAGAGCTATATCTGCAGTTTATATGTGTATGTGGTGTGTGTGTGTGTGTGTGTGTGTGTGTGTGTGTGTGTGTGTGTGCGTGCGTGCGCGCGCGCGCGCGCGCGCGCGCGCTTGTGGAGGCCAGAATTGATATCAGGTCCTTCCGTGTGTGTGTGTGTGTGTGTGTGTGTGTGTGTGTGTGTGCGCGCGCGCTCTTGTGGAGGCCAGAATTGATATCAGGTACCTTCCTCTATTGCTGTCCATTTTATTTACTGAAGCAGGATGTTGCTCTTGCTCTTGCTCTGGGGATCTCAGGTCTCCATATCCTCGGTGCTAGTATTACTGGCAGGCTGGATTTTATGAGTGCTGGGGGTCCTATGCCAGGCCTCATAGTTGCATGCCAAGAACTTAATCCACTGAGCCATCTATCTCCCTAGCCCCCCAGTTAGTGGTCCTGATGTTGATATAGACAAGAGGAAACCGAGAAGCCTAAAACTGGGGAGGACTGGGAAAAGTTTCTGGCAGGTAACACTGAAGCAAGTTCTACACTTCTTGCTGTAGAACTTGATGTGGGAAGGAACTTGAGTCTGTTCTGGGAACGGCTATGCTGGCCGGAACAGTACGCTGGTCCTGTGGAGCACTCCACTCCTTTTTCTGAGTGGATTAGAGGCATGAAGGAAAGAAGCATTCCTGCTCTGCTCACCCAAATGCAGGACCTCATTGCCTGGAAGCTTTGAGGCCCTGAAAGGCCTTGGCTTTCTGCTGGGCATGTGCCTATGTCCTTCACCTGATTTTAGGGAGCTGAGGCTATCCAGAGCCCTGTGCAAGTGGCTAAGGAGTAACTAAGGTCAAGACAGGGTTCTCATTTACCCCATACCTGGAGGCATCCTAGATGGACACAGCAGTGTGTGTGGGCAGGAAGAGCTTAGGTGAATGAAGGCACTTGCTAGCTACCAAACTTTACCTTTACCTTTCAGCAAGTGGAGAGGAATCTTACTTTCCTGTCTATAGGGAGGGGATCCAGGCCTGAGCCTTGACTTTGGCAACTCTTGCTGGACTTTCTTCTCAGAGTATTGCTAGTTTTGTTTGTTTGTTTGGTTTTGTAGTTTTGTAGAGAAGCCTGAGCCTGGGGCTAGCAGAACTGGTCTACCCTCCTCACTGCCTGCCTGAGGCTCATGGGACAGCTGGTTTCTCTCTCTGATAAGACCCTTGGGTTTGATCTGGCCCCTTGTTTTAATCTTGCCCTTTCCACTCAGCTAGGGGAGATTTATTTGTTTTGTTTCCTTGTTTTTAAACTCTGCTTATTGTTCTCTTGTACGAAAATGTTACTTTGCAGGTTCACATAATGGCCTTGCTGGGATTACAGATGTGACCCTCTTTCTAAATGTGGAGGTTGAAAGATAAAGAAACACTGTCTCTTCTGAACCAAGAGTCACTAGTAGTAATGTTTGATCACATTTGCTTTGTCCTAATATGTAGACAATTTTCTTTTGAAATTAAGTTGTATCAAAACCAGGTATGGTGGTGCATGCCTTTAATCCCAGATAATCTGGGTTCAATTCCCAGCACCTACACGGTGGCTAACAACCATCTGTAACTCCAGTTTCAAGGTATCCAGTGCTTTCTTCTGACTTTCTTGGGATCCAGGCACACACATGATATGCATACATATATACAAGCCAAATACTCATACGCATAAAATAAAAATACCTAAAATTTTTTAAAAAGACACCAAAAAGTTGTAGCATCACGTGATGTCCCTAAATGCTTCCCAAGCCATAAGAGTGCTCTGTGATCATCATAACACCTCTGTCACAGTCACAAAAATAATTAGAAGCTGGAGTTGTGCTTCATCTGGTAGGGTGTTTGTCTAGCATGCTCCTGGATTCAGTCCCAAGCATTGCATAAACCAGGCATGGTGGCACACGCCTGTGGTCCCAACACTTGAGAGATTAAAGCAGGAAGATTGAGGTCATCTTTGCCTACATATGAGCTTGGCATGGTGGCACACGCCTGTGGTCCCAACACTTGAGAGATTAAAGCAGGGAGATCGAGGTCATCTTTGCCTACATATGTGCTCATGGGCCAGCCTGGTTGACATGAAACCCTGCCTTACAAAATTAATAATCCCTTCTGGATCAAAAATCCAACGCCTGTTTTTCTTTTCACATCTACCTCACAAGAGTGTTGTGTAACTTCTGTTTTCCCTCCAGCCAGGAACTTTTCCTAGCGAAAGCTTGTGGTCTGTATGTCTCCATTTAGACCACTGTCCCCACACTCACATCTCCCCAACTCACTATGTCGGTTTTTCTGGTTGTTTTTCCTGGTACCATATGGCTTGTTCAACTCAATCCTGCAGTGCCTCAGTTTGAATGAGTGGTGGGAGGCAGGATAAACATGTAACTGGAGCATCCAGTTACACGCCCTGGGAGAGATGCTTGCTTTTGTGGAGATAATGTTTGTCATATATGTACTGTGTAGAAGAAGCTGGCAGAACCACTTCCCACATGACAATTATTTTCCTTCTTTATTCTTCTGGGTATTTACTAATGTTGCCAGAATTAAGCACATTTCACTTCATCTTCAGAACAAGAAAGGTTAAAATGTAGAATGTCATAGTAACGTTAGGGGAAGTTTGCAAACTCATGAAAATAAAACAGGGCATAACCCATGTCTTTAGCAATAGTTTAGATCCTCCCCACCCCACAACCCTGTGGCAAGGTTTTGGGGAATTATTTTACATAGTTCCATGCTGTTTCTTTCTCCTGTTGTTGTTTAATGTCATCTAAGTACATTTTCCATGCCGTAGTCACTTCCTAAATGTTAGGGATCCAGCTGAGGGCCTCACACATGCTGGGCAAGCATTTTTTATCACTGAGTTAAACCCCCACCCTGGGTCTTATCTCTTCATTGATAATTGTGACTATGTGGATGAGGAGCTCTCTGGAGTGGTGGGTGGTGTAGTTTGTGCACTGTGAAAGACACTCAACTCAGGAGCAGGCCAGGGCTGTCTTCCCTGAATCCTGTGCCTACCTGCTACACCTCCCTGGAGACCTGTCTGTCCACAGACCCTTGACCAACTCGGCAGGCCTGGTGCCAGTGCAGCAGCTCAGGATGGTTACTGTTTGCAGCTGGAGTCCTGCAATAGGAATGAGTCTGGAGTGAGCTCTTGCGGCTGGGTGGTGGGAAGCCCCGCTTGCTGTCTGAGCAGAGACTCTGCTAATAAAGCACCAGCCTTCCCGGAGTGGGAGGAGCCAGCTTTACCACCTTTTTCTCTACTTCCCAGGATGCCTTCCGTGCCTTCCACCTGGACCTTGACTTCGTGGGCAAGTTCTTAAAGCCCCTGCTGATTGGTGAGCTGGCCCCAGAGGAGCCCAGCCTGGACCGGGGCAAGAGCGTGAGTGGGATTGTAAACTTGAGGGAAGTGGGATGAGGCTGGGCGGACGGTAGGGGTGAGAGTACTTTCTCCTCAGGACCCCACTGTCAGGGCTGTGACAGGAGAGTCCTTGAGCCTGTCCAGGAGAATGGCCTCAGAGTGTCTCCTGGGAGCCACCAGCTGGGTGATAACTAATGGCATCCAACTGGACTCTTTGCCCCTCCCCTTCTTTACTCAAAGCTGCCAGATGTTGGTCTGGTACACAACTATCTAAGAAAGGGCAGAAACAGTGAGACAGTATCGGCGAATGAAAAGTGTGGCTGTTTGAAATGAGCAGGACCCCTCATTTGTCACAGAGTCAGACACCCTACTGAGTGCCGGGCTTTAAAGAGCAGTATGTACAAATCAGTCCCCAGGTCTCACCAGCTGACCACTCAGTGGTAAAGCCGCTTATAGAGCAGGCCTGGCATGCATGATGGAGATGTGTCGAACAGCATGTTTTAGAGTTTCTTTAACCCCGAGGGTCCCTCCCTTCTCCTCCCCTCAATCCTTTGCCTTTCCCTACTAGAGTTACCCATCTCCCGGAGCCTAGGCTTCTCCTGGCCCTAAGCAGGTACCCATCCCTGTGTCCTGAGCCTGTTGGCCTGGCATCTTATAGGGTGGGCTGGTTCAGGTCCTCAGAGGCACTCCATGGTCTCAGAGCTGAGACACTTTCACCTTCAACAGGCAACTTTGTGTGACCTTAGTGAAGCAGGAGAGGGTGGGCCACCAGGTGGGCTGGTTCAGGTCCTCAGAGGCACTCCATGGTCTCAGAGCTGAGAGACTTTCACCTTCAACAGGCAACTTTGTGTGGCCTTAGTGAAGCAGGAGAGGGTGGGCCACCGCCACCCCTGCCTGTCCTAGAGAGATGGTACCTCAGACTGCTGTCTAGGGAGAGATGTTTCTTGAGGGAAATGATTTCCCTGGTCTGAGACCAGGTTGGCCCCTCTTACTTCCTGCCTGAGCTGGAGTAATTCTTAACTAGCCCCTACCTCAGAGTCCCAGCAAAGCCTGTCTGGAAGGACACAGGCTCTTTCCTGGCCTGGATTCTTGGTTGGTCCTCCATAGAGGACTCTCTGCATCCTGGGCCCCCATACTTGATACTCACTGTGACTTCTCTGGCATCCTTAGTGTTCATGAGCAGGACCCCATCCTGCACCTGCACAGAGTCAGACAGTGAAGAATGCAAGTGCTCTCTTTTGAGGCATAGAGGCCTTGGCATGCCAAGCAATTGCACTATTGCAAAACTAGCTTCATCATCCAGTTCTAGAACTTTCATATCCTCTCCAACTGATATTCTGTGACCTTAACAACAGTTCCTCACTCCCTTCAGGAACTGCCAGAAACCATTTCGTTGTCTGCAAAGCATGTGACTCCTCCAGGCACAAATCATGCTGTATTTGTCCTTTACAAAATTGTGTTAGTGTATATCTTCATTGTTTTTGTTTTCTTTATTGTTTTGATATAGGGCCTCATGTAGCCCAGGCTAGCCTCGAACTCCTGACCCTACTACTTTCTCAAATGCTGGGATTGTGTGCTGTCACACCTGGCAACTTGTGTATGTCGATTGTACAGAATAATAAGTTTCGTTCTGATATCGTCGTGCAAGCATCTGTTCTTTTATAATTGGCTACTTTCTCAAATGCTGGGATTGTGTGCTGTCACACCTGGCAACTTGTGTGTTTGTACAGAATAATAAGCTTCCCACCATCCAGCCACAAGAGCTCACTCCAGACTCATTCCTATTGCAGGACTCCAGCTGCAAACTTGTCTCGATTGTACAGAATAATAAGTTTCGTTCTGATATAGTCGTGCAAGCATCTGTTCTTTTATAATTGGTCTATTTCATTTAGCATGAACTTCATTCACGATAGGACACATTGTAGCAGCATGACAAATAAAAAAAAATATATATTTATTATAGCTATTGTGTGTGTGTGTGTGTGTGTGTGTGTGTGTGTGTGTGTGTGTGTGTGTGTGTGTACACATGTACATGTGGATGCCTATGGAGGCCCAAAGAGGGCATCAGATCCCCTGGAGCTGTAATTACAGACAGCTGTGAGTGGCTCTATGTGGATGCCAGGAACAGAACTTCAGTCCTCTGTGAGAGCTACAGTCACTCTTAACCATTGATCCAGTTCTCCAGCTCCAGTTTCTGTTTTTTGCCTGTTGTGAATAATGCTTCTGAGAACACTGGTTTGGAGATTACAAGCTGCTTATTATTATTAATTGTTTTTATTGCACACGGCTATAGGAGGTCATTTTCACACACATATACAGTGTACTTGGAACGTATTGTCCCATTTCCTTCCATTCCCCTCCTAGCTCCTCCTTCTACCTCCTTTAGTCCCTTAATTCTTTTAACCTTTATTTTTATTTTATGTGTTCTGAATGTTCTGCCTGCAAGTATGTCTGTGTATCACATGCATGCAATACCCTTGGAGGCCAGAAGAGGGTGTTGGATGTCCCTGAGACTAGAGTTACAGACAGTTGAGAGCCAGCAACTGGATGCTGGGAATCAAACCCTTGTCCTCTGGAAGAGCAGCCAGTGCTCTTAACTAGAGTCATTTCTCCAGCCCTGTTAGTCAGTCTGGTTCCTATACAGCTTCATTTCTAGTTCAGTGTCATCTGTACATCTATGACGTATAGAATCCTTGAGAGAACTGAGAAAACAAAATATTTGTTTTCCTGAGACTGACTTAGATCACTTAGTATGATTAAAAACAGAAGCTTCTGAGTGCGTCATCTGTACATCTATGACGTATAGAATCCTTGAGAGAACTGAGAAAACACAAAGTATTTGTTTTCCTGAGACTGACTTAGATCACTTAGTATGATTAAAAACACAAGCTTCTGAGTGCAACTCTTCTTTTGCCTCTTATCTAGCTGTGACGTATCTGCAATAATGGTGGCCGTTGCTGCATCTGGTGGCTGGGTTCACACAGGGTTCAAGGAGCTCGCCACAGCTATAGCCTGTGCTGTGCTTGAACACACGTTCCCATGGAGGGTGTAGTGGCTGACTCTCTTTTATGTCCTTGCTTAACAGTCTCAGATCACTGAGGACTTCCGGGCCCTGAAGAAGACTGCTGAGGACATGAACCTGTTCAAAACCAACCACCTGTTTTTCTTTTTCCTCCTGTCCCACATCATCATCATGGAAAGCATCGCCTGGCTCATCCTCTCGTACTTTGGCAATGGCTGGATTCCAACCCTCATCTCTGCCTTTGTCCTTGCTACCTCTCAGGTGAGGCCTGACACCCTTGGCCATGATCTGAACATTCCCACGTTCTCAGCTCTCTCATGGCTATTTGCTGATGCTGCAATGACATCCCAGCCCTCTTTCCCCAGGCCCAAGCTGGATGGCTACAGCATGATTATGGCCATCTTTCTGTCTATAAGAAATCCATATGGAACCACATTGTCCACAAGTTTGTCATTGGCCACTTAAAGGTAAGTTTGGGGGTTAAGGGTGATTTGTCAGTAAGTAAATCACTTGGGAAGACCTGAGTTTGATACCCAGAACACATGTAAAAGTGCTGGTTATGGTGTCACATGCTTGTAATCCCAGCACTGGGGAGGCAGAGACAGGAGGATTCCTAGGGCTCACCAGCCAGGTGGTGTGAACTACTTGCTGAGCTCCAAGCCAGTGCGAGGCTCTGTTTCAAAGGAGATGGACAGTGTTCCTGAGGATGCCACCTAAGACTTCCCAGCCTCCTCGTGGGTATGCACACGTGTACAGCCTCCCCTCAAACATGCAGACACATGTGTACTCACATTGAAAATGGGGGGCTGGAGGATGGAGGGTTCTGTCACCAGCCTGGGTGACCACCCACCCCATTAGATTAATTCTCTGTAAATGGGAAATATCCTAAGTTAAAAACTTATGTAATTCCCCTAATCTACCAAACCTCACAGTTTAACAACAAAAGGCAATGTAAGGTGTTGGTTGTTTAATGATCTGTGGCTTGCTGCCATACAATCAAAAGCCATTGTAAGTCAAGAATTGTAAATCAACTCTACTGTCATTCTAGAAAGTAACATCAAAATGTTTAATACTTAACTAAACCAAAAGACTGAAGTTGTTTAAAATGGAGCAGTGAGTTGGTTCTGTTCAGATGAGGCCGTGGCCCAGGTAGAGGAGTTACAGCCAAGTGAGTCTATAAAGCCAAGCCTGCCAGTGACCTTGAGCTGATCTGATAGGTGTTACCTCAACTTGGGAAAGCATTTCTTGCCAACTGGACTCAGCGCTAAAACAAAGTACCAGATGCAAACAGTGTAAGAGAGGAAGGACTTCCTTCAGTGACTTATGGTTTCAGAAGTGTCACTCCACAGTCCTCAGCTCTGTTAATTCTGAGCCCGGAGTGAGGCAGAGTACCCTGCTGGTAGGAGCATGTGGCAGATGCTGCTTAAGACAAGCATGGGGAAGAAAGGGACCAGACACAACCCTCAAAGGTGCCGTCGTGTCCTCCCACCCCACCCCATCCATTGATCTACTTCTTCAATCTCAAGTTCTTACCATCTACTAAAATAATGCCATTGGCGTGGGTCTGAGGGGTCACCCTGCAAGTTCATGGAGATGTGCCATTCTCACACCATAGCATACTCTCTCAAACAAACCCCACTGTCTCCCATAGTCCATTCCAATTGCATATAGTTGCTTTCTCAGAAAAGCTAGGTCCCCAGACTTCTACCCTACTGTCTTCGGCTGGAGAAGAGCCCTATGCCCAGGTTAAATATCTCTGCTCTGTGGCCATGACCCCACTGCACCCTTGGTTTGCTATTGGATTGGATTGTGAGTGAGCCAGCAATGATCTGCTCAGCAGTTCCCAGCTAGCAGTTTACCTCGCCCTGAGCCTCAAAGGGCGGGGAACCTGGACTCTTCTTACCCTTAGAGGGTATCAACACAAGGGCTTTGTTGCATTTTGCACTGTCCTCTGTGGCCTAAAATCCTCCTCTGTGTAGGAAAGAAACATTTTACCTACTACCCCTGTTTTCCCCATGCCATTAACAAAGATGGACTGTGTCCTATTTCCAGTTTCTGGCAGGGGCTTGAAGGCCTTTTCCACCCCAAGGCCTTAAGTCCTTGAAGGCTCATAGCTTGAAACACAGCTCTTACATCAGACAGACAAGGACAGGACAGAGGGCTATAAAGCATTTGCTTGTGAAATTGGAATTCGGGGGGCTGGGGATGTAGCTCAGTTGGTAGAGTGTTTGCTGAGCATCTTGAAGCCCTGGGCTCTCTCTCTCTCTCTCTCTCTCTCTCTCTCTCTCTCTCTCATTTTTTTAGACATAGTCTCTCACTATATAGCCCTAACTGACCTACACTTCCCCATATAGATCAGGCTGGCCTCAAATTCACAGAGGTCCACCTGCCTCTGCCTCCTGAGTTCTAGGATTAAAGGCACACACTACCATGCCTGACTGATATATCATCCTTTAAATGATCAAGCCTTTAACTCTAGAACACCAAAAGATAAATTGCTCAAAAATTGAAAGGTCTGTTAAAATTATTTTACATATAAATTATTTATATCAAAATGAAATGTATTATGCCTTTCCCTTATTAAGAAAAAAAAAAAAACTTTGTGGCTGTGGGGATTGAACTTGGGGCCTTGACACATTCGAGGTAAGTGCTCTACCACCAAGCTACAACTCCAGCCCTTTCATTATACTTTCATTTCAATGTAAGATAATGTAATTAAAAATAATTAAGTAGGGCAAGCTCAGAAAATGTCTCACTTGAAAAAAAAAAAAAAAGATAAGCCCCAAAGTAGATTTTGAAAGTATTATAGATGCATTTGCTAGGGTGTACACTTTTTCTCTTGACCCCAGCTGTAATCTGCCAACCCATCTCTTCTGGCTACTATTGTGCTTTGGAGTACTCTTCCAGATGTGGTGGCACACTGTGACCCAGTCCTAGTGTTTGGGAGGCCAAAGCAGTGTGAGCTCAGCTTGGCCTCGGATAAGCTCATTGTCTCTTGGCTCACCACGGCCTCCCCTGGGCCCAGCCCAGCAACTGGCTTGGAGCAGACACCATTCAGCCCTTATTCCGAGAATACAGACTCCCCAGACAGATTTGGCTTCACTGTGCTGTGGAGGAGAGATGGATGAAGGCTAAGTAGGACTTTGCCTGATGAAGAAGAATGAGAGGGACTTAAGGCAGGGCTGATGGCATGAACAGCCAAAATATCATGGTGTCTGGTCCCAAGTCCAGGGAGGGACTATGTACCCCACCTTGATGACCCTCATTCCTCCTTCCACTAATATCTCTAGGTTGGTGGGCTGTCAGCTGGCTTGCTTATTACATACTTGGCTCCTCAGTGTCTTTGTGTCAGGGACTTTTCCGTCTGATGCTTCTCTTGGGAATTTTGTTCCTTTTGACTTCAGATGCCAGTGTGTCCCTTGACTCCTTAGACCTGGGAGACCTGACATGCTGCTTTTTGCTGGGAGGGGTTTTGAAACCTGATGCCTACAAGAGACCAGAGGTCACTGCAAAGCCCCACAGCTGTTGTTACTATTCCCACCCATGCTGTCAGTGTTCAGAAGCTGGGTCTGGATCCAAAACACTCCCCATGTGAGAAGCCTGTTTTGAGCAAATAGACCTTTTTGCAGATGGTCAGACCCTACCAAAGCGTAGAACCAGCTATCTATCAGTCAATGTTTTACCTGCTCCTAAAGGGACAGAAAAGACTTGGGCTACCTGGCCGCTGTGTTGAGTGACATACCTCTGAAGAAGGCTTTGAGAACTGGTGGCATAGCAGCCTGTGGCAGTCAAATAAATACATAAGTCTCCTTTCTGTGCTTCCTGTATTGTGGGACCAGGATGCCATCGAAATGTTGGCTCCTCCTGACTGTCCCCAGCTTTCACTGAAGGGGACTCATGGCAGGCAAGCAGCACTATATCAACTGAGATTCATTCTGTGAAAATTTGGGAGTCCCCCTCCCCTCCCCCCACCACTGCCATTCTCAACTGATTTTCTTTTTCTTTCTTTCTTTTTTTTTGTAGGCTTATATTATTTTTTTCAGCATATGCAATTTGTACAAAATATTAGATTTTATCAGGGCATTTTCACCCAAGTGTACTTTTTCACCCTTTACCAGCCCCTCTTATCTCCTAACCCCCTCATGCTGGTTCTCACTCCTTCCCGATGGCCTCACTTCTACCTTCATGTCTTTATTTTTAAATCTAGAGTCCCTGTCTGAGAGAAAAATGGGTGGCAATTGTCTTTCTGAGTCAGGCTTGTTTCACTTAATGTGACCTCCAGTTCTGTTCCTTTTCCTGCAAATGTCATAATTTCATTCTTCATGGCCAAATCATATTCTGTTGGATATGTATGTATGTTTGTATGTATATGTATATGTATATGTATATGTATATGTATATGCAAATGCTTTCTCTCTGTCCATGCATTGACAGGTACCTGGGCAGATTCCATGACTCAGCTCTTATTGTTTGTTTGTTTGCTTATATTAGTGTGATGGGTCACCAGCATAGCTGAAGTTGACCTTGAACTCCTGATCCTCCTGCCTCTACCTCTCAAGTGCTGGAATTACAGGTGTGAGCCACTATGTCCAGGAGAGTTAGATGTTCTTAGTAGAGCTTCAATAAACATGAGTATCATGTACTGACTTAGAGTCTGTCTGTTATGTGTCCCAAGAGTGGCAGAGTTGTATCATGAAGTAGTTTTTGTTTTTTGAGGAACCCTTGTACTGTTTGCCATATTAGCCGGACTAATCTACATCCCCACTGGCAGTGACTAAGGTCCTACCTCCCAAACACACACATATCTGTCTGCAGCAGCATTTGTCCTTTGTTTTCTTGATGGTGACTGTTTTGACTGGGATGGGATGGAGTCTCAGTGTGGTGATTTGCATTTCCTTTGTTGCTAAGGATGATGAGTGTTTTTTGTTTTTTGTTTTTTAATAGACTATTTGTACTTGCTTCTCAGGCAACAGCCTCATAAATTCATCTCTCTATTTATTGAATGGGTTACTCATTCTCTTAGTGTCTCATTGTAGCCTTTTTATGTATTCTTCCCCTGTCAATAAATAGCTGGCAAAGCTTGTCTCCCTTCTGTCTCGCCACTGGCTGCTGTTTCCTTTCAATTCAGTGCCATCACACTTTTTGATTCTTGCTACAATCTGTCAGAAAATGGCTGCCTGGCATGCCTATACCTTGAAGTGCTTCCTTTTATTTTCCTCTGGTAGTTTCAGGTGTTACACGAAGGCCTTTGATCCATGGGAAAAACTTAAATAAAATAGTGGTTTTGAGATATTATATACACAGAGAGCTGTTTGCCCCTTTAAAGTGAACACTTGCAGTAACTGGGGGAATGTTCACAGATTATACATCTGGAGCACAATTTTAGAGCATATTCATCACCCTGAATAGGTTCTCACACATCTCCAGCCACCTCTCCAGTATCCCAACCTGTTTCCTCAGCACTGCTGACTCCTGTCCCTGGTTGGACACCAACTTTCTTCTGCCGGGCTTTACAACTGTGAGATCATGAATGAGCCATGGGATTTCTGGCTTTTTGGTTGTTATTTTATTGGCTTCTTTCACTTGGTGTGGTGGTTCTAGGTTCACCCATGCTCATATCATGTGTTAGTGGCTCATTCTTTTCTAGCGAAAGCTTTTAAAAATTTCTTTATGAATTTATTATTTAGGGAAAAGAGATGCCACAGCATATATGTAGAAGTCAGAGGACAACTTTCAAGAGTCGGTTCTCTACTTCTACCATCTGAGTCCCAGGGATCGAACTCAGGTCATCAGGTTTTGTGGGAGGCACCTTTAATCACGGAACCATCTTACTGGCCCAGTCCATTCCTTTTTGTGGTTTAGTTAAACCATTCCATTGTATGGATACCACATTGTATTTTCAGTTGATGGACATTTGAGTTGTTTCTGTCCTGGTTATTTTTGAGAATTCTGCTTTGAGTGTGAGCGTGTGTGTGTGTGTGTGTGTGTGTGTATCAAAATTTCTCAGTACCTCAAGAGAGAAACTGCTGGTCCCCTGGTAGAAATACTTTGAAGCCCTTTCCCATTGCTCAGTACTGGGAAACTGAGGCTAGAGAAGTTACTTGACTTCTTTTAAAACTGGCCAGTACTCTGTGTTCAGAAGTGGCAGGGCTATGTCTGATTTCCAGGGACTCCAGGCATGAGCCCCTATGTGATGGAGAAGTTGGATCTTTGTGTTGGAGATACCAAGGACCTGGTTGCCAGCAAGGTCCGTCACTGGCAAGACCAAGGGCGCACTGACCTTTGTGGCTCACCTAGCTCCTCTCCCCTTTCAGGGTGCCTCCGCCAACTGGTGGAATCATCGCCATTTCCAGCACCATGCAAAGCCCAACATCTTCCACAAGGACCCGGACATAAAGAGCCTGCACGTGTTTGTCCTTGGCGAGTGGCAGCCCCTCGAGGTATGAGTGAGGGGATGGCATTGGTTAGGAGGTGTCATGGGAAGAAGGAGTCCTGTGGGGTCAGCATTCAGCCAAGACATCAGTACCTTCTGCCACCCAGAACCCTTTCCTAGTCACCCTGAGGTATCCCAGCTATGACCTATACAGAGTGGCTTTCCTTGGGAGTACTGGACACAGAGCCTCAGGAACAGGCTCAGTATGTCCGTCCCTCCTGCCCCACAGGAAACTGGGTCAAGTTTTTCAGGAAAATAGAATTGTAGGCCTCCAGGATGGTCCAGTAGGCCAGCCCGTGCACAGGAGACGTTATCTGGGGAACAGCAGCCTGTTCAAGCTGCCCTCAACAGCAGATGAGAAAGCAAGACTCAGACAGAAGACAGGAAGTAGTAGGAGGGTCTTGTCAGTCACCAGTTAGTCCAGGATAAGCCTTCAGATCTTTGCTAGGACACATCCTTCTATTTGACCACAATTATTTTACTATCATTTCTTAAAATTATAAACATAGGATATATTTGGTACGAACATTGAAATAGTATAGAAATGTATATTCAGTGTCTTATCTTTGTCACCTCTTGGCCTCAAGCTTTATGTACCCAATAATAACCATTGTTAATGAGAAGCCAGATAACCTTCTAAGTGTCTGGTACTAAGCTCCGTCTCAGGCTCTCAATATCATCTGTGTGTATATGAACATGTGTCTTAGTCAGAGCTTCTATCTCTCTGAGGAGACTCCGTGGCCATGGCAACTCTTATAAGGAAAGCATTTAATTGGGGCTGGCTTACAGTTGAGAAGTTTAGTCCATTATCATCATGGCAAGAAGCTTGGCAGTGTGCAGACAGACATGCTGCTGGAGAGGGCAACAGGAAGTAAACTGACTCGAACTTCTGAGACATCAAAGCCTGCCCCCAGAAACACACTTCCTCCAACAAGGCCACATGCACTATCTGTAGGGCTATTCCTGTTCAAACCACCACAACATGCATATATCTTTTTCTTCAAAAACAAAACTAGAGGTAAAGTATGCCTTCTATTCTGAAGCTCGCTACTTCTGATGTGGACCTTGTTCCAGGAGTTCAAGGGGGTTGGTGGCATTTCTCCTGGGGACTGCGTGGTCTTCCATTTTATTCATATATTCCAGCATGATGCACACTATTTCATATAAGAATTTTTTGTGCTGCTGATCTTAATTTCCCTCTTTGGGTGAGTGTAGGGATTTAATCTCATCCATGTTCAGCACATGTTCTATCTACCACTGAGCCCTAAGTTTTCTCCTGTGATTCTGTACCCACAGCCACTCATTTTTCTTTTAATAAAAGCACACCCAACCAGGCATGGTGATGATGTCAGAACTCTGGAAATAGAGGCAGGAGGATTTCAAATGCTTAATTTGGTTCAGATAATAAGATTTTTGTCAAAAACAAAATAAAGGACCGTGAGGTGGCTCAGTGGGTAAAGGTGCTTGCTGCCAAGCCTGACAACCAGAGTTTGATCCCTGAGCCCCACATGATGATGGAAGGAGAAAATTAAATCCCTTAAACTGTCCTTTGACCTCTGCAAGTGCACTATGTACTGTGGCGTGCACACACACACACACACACACACACACACTCACACGTGTGCGTGCACACAAAGAAATGGGGGAAATTCAAAGAAAACTAATTTTAAAAAAGTAAAATAGGGTTGTAGAAGTAACTCAGCAGCTAAGAATACTGGTTGCTTTTTTAGAGGACCCAGGTTTGGTTCCCAGCACCTACATATGGCAGCTTACAACCATCAGTAACTCTAGTCTCAGGGGATCCAGCACCCTGTCCGGCCTCTCCAGGTGTGCAAATAGTGCACAGACATACACACAGGCAAAATGTCCAAACACATTGCATAAATGAAACAAGGCACCCTTGATTTAAAGAATTTAAAGAATGTGCTCAATCTAGGCATGGCTGTATACGCCTCTAATCTCAAGACATTAAGAAACTAACTGAGAGAGGGGAATTACTGTGAGTTCGAGGCCAGCCTGTTCTACATACCAAGAAGTGTCTTTTTAAAAGGGGGTGGTTATTCTATAATTTTCAAAAAGTAGAGCCTCTATATTAGGGTTTAATTTTGCAAAAAGGAAGGAAGAGAAAGAAAGCTGTCCATGTTGGTATCTTGGAAATATACTGAGGGTGGGCCTAAGTCAAACTGTGGGTATAGCTCAGTGGCAGAGATCCTGCCCCAAATGCTCAAGGCCTTGGGTTCAGTCCCAACATAGTGATGGAAAATCACAGTGCTGGGCAAAGCAGAGCCCTCAGTAGGTAGTTATGGGAGAATGCAAACTTGCCCTCAGTAGACACGGTCATAGAAGAAGGAGTTTCCTGGCTGTGTTGGCATCCAAGGTTTGTAACATAGACAAGGGAGAGCCTGTTCCCCTCAGTTCTGATTTGCATTCCTGTGTGACACAGATGCACAGGACATCAGCCACAGTTCTGAACTTTGGCTAGGCAGGGATTTCATTTTCTGCCCAACACCTGTCTTTGTTTCTCTTCTAGGAAATGGCTTGTTAGCTTTGGTTAGAAGTGTTTGATAGCAGTTTGATAGCAGCTACCCAGAAGCCTTTTGATAGTGAGGACAAAGGCTTCCTGAACGCCTGTAGTAAAGCTGTTAGCTGTTCTCACAGATGGTCCCAAGTCCCTAACAAACAAAGGAAATCCAGGCTCATCAGCTCTGCAGATCAGCTGCACAGTAGCTGACAAATTCCGTCCCATCTCACTTCTCAAATGCTGGATGGCTTTGGGAGGGAGGCAGTAGGAGTCTGCAGTGGCATTTGAAGATGGAGGCCATCACAGCATCACAGTGTCCTCGGAAAGTCTCTCTTGGGCATTCAGGTGTTGACAAGGAAAACACCGTGTTTCCTGGGTTCCTGGTTGAACTGTGTGTGAGTGTTCAAGAGACTATGCTGATCTGAAGGGAGCCCTGGTTCTACTTGGGGTGACTGCAAGTCCAGCACATCTCAATAGAGTCCCAAATGGCTATGCCTCAGGGGCTTGAGCTTCCATCCCAGGCTCCAGAGCTGATGCCTGCCAAGGCCTTTATCTCAGGTGTGGACCAGAAAGAAGGGCATTTGAGTCACAGAAATATTAAGAGAAGTCTTAAAACCTCCTGGTCATATTTATGACTTGGGGGGGGTGTTGATTTGTTTTATGTGGCAATGTGCATTCAGCTTCTCTCCTGGGTGTTCTTTTCAGTTTAGGACAGTTCTCCACACGTAGTATTTTCAGTGTTTTACTTTACAGCTTCATATCTCAACTTTTAGTTGGGGTGGAGTGTAGAGGGGAACGCCAAAACCGTTTTTTACACTGATACATTTAATTTGTATGAGAACTACTCTAAAGTCAGTCAATATCCTCAGGCACTAAAGGGCTATATTGCCCTTCCCAACCCACCAGTGCGCTCTCCTACCCCCAGTGTCTACTCTAGACAGTTGATTCTCCCTCGGGATTGCTGGCTGTGTGACCTGCTTTATAGAATACCTCATGCATGCTCCTTTTTACATGTGCGTTGTGCCCTTTAACATCAGGGTTTCTCCAGTACTCAGGAAACAGTTGGTGGCTGCCTCATTGTGCCCAGATAGTGTCCCCTGAGGCCTCTTCATGGTTCTAGCTTTTCCTTTGGTTCACCTGCCCTGGGAAGTCAATCAGTCAATCATACATACTCTTACAAGTAAGGAGGCCAATGCCTTCTCTCTACTGGCACCACTTCGTTATTACTGCTTGGGGTTTCAGCACTGGGTGGGAACTCTCAACCTAATTAAACTTTGGTATAAGCAATAATCTTGTTTGCCACCCTTCCCTGTTGCCATGTCACTAACTCCGTAGTGTAGTCAATATATTCTCAGAAGTGGCAGTGCTCCAGCCTTCCCTCCTGAGGGCTTCCTCCTCTACTCATCTGGTAAGCACCCCTGCTTTCTACATAACTTCCTGCTTCCAGCAGAAACTTTAGTCCCCACCTCCCCACCCCACCCCACCCCCGCTCCTAGGACATATTTGGCCCTCTTCTTGGGTGGGCATCTAGCATCCTGGCGGTGTCTGCTATGGCCACGTCGCTCATTGCTCTGTGTGTAAGTGTGTGAGTTCCCAGAGGCAGCAACTGACCTTTCAGCAACTCCTGCCAAACCACCCCTCAGCTCTAGACAGACAGGGAAGGCCCTTGTTATTCCTCAGACACTCCGTTTCAAGCCTGAAAGGTCCTTTTACGTGACCTTGCCGGGTGTCTGATGTATCATTTATTTTTCTTCTTGCTGCTACAAAATGCCCGACAGGAAGCCACTTAAAGAAGGAAGGGTTTATTGGGATTTGGAGATAAAGGCAAGACATTCCATCGTGGTAGGGGCAGTGTGATGGCAGGAGCAGGAAGCTGGCTAGTCACTGCATCTGCAGTTGGGAACAGATGAGTGTCATGCTCGGCTTGCTTTCTCCTTTTTATCGAGTCTAGGAGTCCAGCTAGTGGAGTCATGCTGTCTGCTGTTAGAGTAGGTCTTCCCACCTCAGCTATCCCAACGTTTATAACCCTCACAGGCATTCCCAGAGACTTGATTCTCAGGTGAGTCTACAGCCTGTCAAGTTGATAATCAGTATTGACTATCACAGTGCCGTCTCTTAACACCCAAACACATCGCTGTTATGCTATAACCTTCCCCTGCTGATCCTGTAGTCTTACGGCATCTCACTGTGCAAAATGCATTCAGTCAAACTTCAGCAGTCTCTATTGTCTTTAAAAGTTCCAGTCCTGTTCACAAGTGGAAATGCAGAAGCTGGTTAGGGTCAATTGCTCCTCTCCCAGAAGACCCGGAGGGATCTGATACCCTCCGGCTTCCATGGGCACCTTCACTCACACATATGCACAAACACATGTGCTGTTTTTTTGTTTTTGTTTTTTTTTCTTTCTTACAGGCTCTTAACTCTTTTTTATGGAAATGCAGAAGCTGGTTAGGGTCAATTGCTCCTCTCCCAGAAGACCCAACTTCAGT